TCAGATCTATTTTACCTCTTCTGAAGTACAATCTTTGGAAATTCCTTGAGTGAAACTCTACTGATGGTAAATTATTTCAGTTTTTATTTTGCTGAAATTTTTTTTTATTTCACCTCATTTCTGAACAGTGGTTTTTTGTATATACAATTTTAAGGTTATTTTTTCTCAGAACTTTGAAGATATCATTGACTGGATTCTGGGTTTTATCATTACTGTTGAAAGCCAACTGTCATTCTCATTGTCATTGCTTTGTATGTAATTTGGGGGAATTTTCCCTCTCTACCTATTTGTAAGATGTTCTTTTTTTCTGGAGTATTCTGCAGTTTTACCTTAATGTGTCTAGGGATTTCTTTTTTAATTTTTGTGTTTGGAAAGGAATAAATATAGACCATCATCTCTGTAAGGCCAGGGTTCTTGTTTGTCCTATTTGCATCTTTACTCCTAGCCTTAGCAGAAGGCTAAGTAAAAATGCAATAAATATTTGATGTGTAATGAATAAATTTGTAAATCTAATTAGTTTTCTTATGAATAATAAGAAGGAAGCTCCTATCTTATCTCAGCATACCTAATAAACATATCTTATCCCACATGTCTCCAGTAGTTAATAGAAGATAACAAGGAAATGAATATTTTGGTCAGTCATATTCTTTTTTTTTTTTTTTTTTTTTTTTTTTTAGGGTAAGATTACCTATTTTCCCTCTATAAATCTAAGGAGAACTTAACTTGACTTTACATTTAAATAAGCTTCCAAGTGAAAGTTTGGAGTCCCAGGAGGTTGATGTTAAAGAAAATTAAGACCTAGAAAACTCCGAATAAGTAATCATTAATGACAAATGAGTGTAATCCGCTTAGTTTCAGTCAAACTCAGTTTTTAGAGCATGACTTCGAGGAAACACCGAATATATTCCAAGCCTTGTATTTTTCAAGTAGTAGACTGATGTGACTGATAGGGATATAAATTTCACAGTGGTTGTCATGTTTACTTTCTTTCCTCTTTCACCCTTCCTTTATTCATGTCACTCTAACGCCAGTGTGCACGTGTGGATGTGTACATGCGCACACGTGTACAATCATAGCCCATCATATGAAATGCTGTGTATTGTTCCTTGGCTTCTGTAAGTTTGCATCTTTGCTTAAAGGCTTGTTATAGATGACAACTATGAGTTCTTTTTTTGACAGTTTAGCCAAATGCAAAGGGTATGACCTTTTAGTATAAAATCCTGTTTCTGCCATAATACCTTTATAACTTTGGCGTGTTATTTAAACTTTGGGAGCTTTAGTTTTGTCATCTGAAATAGAGAATAATAGAGGCGCCTGGGTGGCTCAGTCGGTTGGGCATCCGACTTCGGTTCAGGTCATGATCTCATGGCTAGTGAGTTCGAGCCCCACGTTGGACTCTGTGCCGACAGCTCAGAGCCTGGAGCCTGCTTCTGATTCTGTGTCTCTGTCTCTATCTCTCTGTCCCTTCTCCGCTCGCACTGTGTCTCTCTCTCTCTCTCTCTCTTAATAAACGTTAGAATTAGAGAATAATAATAGCTACTTCATGGCTTAGAGTGAGGATATATAAAGTATAGAGGTATATATAAAGTGCCTAGCACATTACTTGGTACATGGTATATGCTTACTCAGTATTAGTTTCCCTTTCTTCCAGCAAGACTCCTGTGTACCTCCAGGACCTGAGAAGGTGGCAAAAGCATAAGCCCGAGAGATTGCTCTGATGTTGCAGAGCTCTGAAATGACAAATGACTCAAGTGCCTATCTAAGTTGAGCAAATACAGGGATTATAGTTATTGTTTCTACAAGGAGAGCAAGAGGTAATGACTAACAATTCTGGGACGTTCTTATTTGTATTAGGTGTTGGCAACTCTAGGCATATATGGTAAAGATGATGTGGAGGACCATTTCCTGGAGCCTGTAGACTGGTTGTGTCCCGTTTTACCTGTCACATGTGAAACTGCTGTTCGCACGCCACCCATCTCAACCCATATCCCAGGAACATTAAACACACACACACACACACACACACACACACACACACACAGAAGTGAGATTTTGGTATGCCGCTACTGGGTGGTTTTCAGTTGCTGACCTATCTATTATTTCCCTTGTTCTTTCTTTTTTGCGTAAACCCTGTCCTATTGAAGAGGTTGTCAAATTTTTAAAAAATACAATTCCAGAGAGTAAATAGTGTAGACTTTAAAGGCCACGTGGTCTCTGCTAAAACTACTCAACTATGCCCTTACAGTAGAAAAGCAGCCAGAGACAGTATAGAAACAAATGAGCATGGCTGTATTCCAATAACACTTTACTTATGGACACTGAATTTTGAATATAATTCATTTAATTTTGTGTGTCATGAAATATTTTTCTTCTGATTTTTTTTGAACCATTAACAAGTGTAAAAAAAACATTCCTAGCTCGTAGTCCATACAAAACAGGTAGTGGGGTGAATTTTGCCCACACACCATATTTGCCAACCTCTGCCCGTATTGGTCTTCTGAAGTTTCTGTAGTTATTTTCTCACAACCTGTGCAGGTCATTTCCTGAGTTGAATTTTTTTTAATGTTTATTTATTTATTTTGAGGGACAGAGAGAGCACGAGTGCAAGTGAGGCACAGAGAGTGGGAAAGAATCCCAAGCAGGCTCCACACTGTCAGCGCAGAGCCTGATGCAGGGCTCGAACCCGTGAGCCCTGGGATCATGACCTGAGTCAAAATCAAGAGTGGGATGCTTAACCAACTGAAGCCACCCAGGTGCCCCGAATTCCTGAGCTGAATATGCAAACAAATATATTTCAATGTTTAGTTATTGTTTTACTTTTCTTTTGCCATCATAACAAATTTAGCAGCTTAAAACAGCGCAAATATATTATCTCCCAGTTCTGTGGCTCAGAAATCTGGCTTGGCTTGGTCTCTTTCTGTACTCAAGGTTTGCAAGGCGTTGCTGGCTAAGCTCCTATTGGAAGGCTTTGGAAAGATTTCACTTCCAAGCTCAATTTGGTAAGCAGAATCTGGTCCTTGCATGTAGACATTTATATCTCAGAGCCTTCTTAAAAATCTTTCTCACATGTGGAATTTGACTTCCCATTCTGTAGCATTGCAGATCTGACTTCTGCCTCCTCTTCCTGTTTTTAAGGGCTCTGTGATTACTTTGGGTCTGCCTAGATAACCTAGAACAATCTCCCTATTTTAAAGTCAGCTGCTTAGTAACTTCAGTTCCATTAGCAAAGTTCAGTCATAGCAGTACCTAGGTTAGTGTTTGATTGAAAAACTAAGGGACAGGAACCTTGAAGAGACATCTTTAGAAATAAGAATAGCACACTTAGCACCTATATTTCCAACATAAGTAATTTACGTAAGGCTGTGGAGTTCTTGAGATGTATCCAGAAATAATTTAACCCATTCAAGCATTTGGTTTTGGTAAATTAGATCTTCTTAGATTTGATATATTCCATTAATATATCATATGTAGTTTCTAACTAATCCAGTAGCCCTTGCTTTGCAACAGGTGATCTAGCCACTTGGGAATAAATCTGAGATTTACATGCTATATATAGTCTTTCCTTTCAATGAATAATTTGCTCCCAACAATAACGTTTTCACTTCTTTTCCCCAGTAGTGGAACTGTGTTTCGTATATAACTTAATTTTGTCTTTTCTATTTAGAAGTAGCATTTCAGTGTAGTTGCTGTGGGGAACATATTGACATATTTTGGGGGTCATTTTTAGATAATTTAGGATCCAATTATTAATTTCTAAGTCCAGTATATTACTGAATCACATCTATATGCTTCTTGGGGCTAGAAATCTCAAGAGGACTCTCAGCTGCTTTTCTCCAGCCATCATGTCTGACTTGTCACCAGTCTTGCTGATTGTCATTCTCATTGGCCCAAGAATCTATACCTTTCTTTTCACCCTTTTCACCTTATATCTTTCTTATCATCACTGATATGCATCTTCGTCATTTCCTATTCTATCTATTGCAATAACTTCCTCATCGGCCTGCCTCTGGTTTCTCCTTTGTGCAGATAATGCTCCAGAGATTATATGAGACAACCTGAACTTTAGAAAAACTAAGAGTTCATTCCAACTCCTTACCATGACATTCCAAGATTTTCATTGTATGACCCACTCCTACCTTTCAACCTTTTTTCCAGTACAGTCCTCTGTAGAAGTGTTCAGACAGTAGTAGTGGAACACTACTTTGCCAACACATCTATAATCCATATTCAGAGAATGGTAAATACCCTTTGTAACTGGAGTGAAGGGTTTGTGTTATCATTGTAGGTGGGGCTTTAAAAAAATGGGTTTGATTGTTCAAAGATTCTTCTTTTCCACCTTCAGCTGTTGGTTGTAAAATTCAGGCAGACCCTTCTACCTCCTACATTTTTATTTTATTTCTTCATTTCTGTTAGTCTTGCCATTGCCCCAGCATGAGTCTTGTCATCTTTCCCGGACTATTGCCATGGCCAACCTGTCTTGTCCCGTTTGCTCTTTACTCTAAGCCAATCATCAGAGTATATCAAGGTATCATTCTAAAACACAGTCTAATTGTGGCCCTTTCGTAATTCAAAACCTTCACTCATTCCCCGTTGTTTCCAATGAAGATTATTTGCCCTCTAATGCGGTGGTTAAGAACTTGAGCCCTAGACCAGACTGCTTGGAATGGGATCCTGAGTCTTTTACTTATTAGCTATGTGATATGAGACATGTCATTTTATTGCTCTAAGTGTCAATTTACTCATCTACAAAATGCGGATGATAATATTTACACAGAGTTATGTGAATAAAAATATATGAAGTATGAAGATCAATTAGAAAGTACCTGGTATATAGTATACGTTCAACTAATAGTTGCCATTATAATCACCATAAAATACTCTAGAAATTGAGATAGATTCTATAAAGGACTGGCTATTTTTTACTCAATTAGGGATTTTTGAGAGTTAATTATTTGGCCAGATAACTGAATTTCAATGCTCTCTCTTTTTCTCTTGAGTAGGCAGCTAAGGATTGTAACCGGTGAATGGTTTTTTGAAGAAAAGGCAAAGCGTTTCAAGCAAGTCAATCTTCTGGGCACTGATATAGTCCGACAGTCCATCTTAAGAAGAAGCCCAGGTAACTAAAGCAATTATTTGGTTTCAAAACTGCCTTAATTTTTACTTTTATGAGCTAAAGATTCCCCTGTATATGTTGCAAATAAACATAGTTGAATTTCCTGAATCCCTTAGGTCATTTCAAAACTCAGCATGAAATCTCAATCTGTAATTCATACAAGGGAAGAGGACATCAACAGAACATAAAATCCACAGTGATTTTCCATATAGCTGACATGCTGAGATATTCAAAGGAAGTATTTATTTTCATCACACATAGTTCTTTTCCTGAATGCACTTCCAATATTTTACTAAACATTTAAGACAGTAACATAAAACAGATGAATTAAATGATTCACATTATGAAAGCACTCCTTGATTTTTCAACATGCTATATTTACATAAAATTGCTTTTAAATGTTCCTTTTATGAACCCAATGGTTCTCAACCAAGGGGTGATATCGTGTACCAGGCCCTCCTCCCTCAAGCCAGGGGAGCATTTAGAAATACAATGGGGGCATTACTGGTTGTGGCAGTGACAGAGGTGGGATTAATAGCATGTAGTGGGTGGTTAATAGTATTTAGCCAGAGATGCTAAATGGCCTGAAATGCTCAGGACCCTTTCACTCAATGAAGCATTATACTGTCACCAAATGTAAATGACACTCCACCTTGAGAATGCTATTCTGTGCACTCAAACTACAATTTAACTGGTTAAATATTGAGTGAAACTTGTGTGTAGGAGCATATTTCTCATGTGTGGCCTAGTAAAGGTGGAGCAGGCATCTTCTGGCTTGGTCCTAGGGTGTCTCATGTTTCATATACAGAGACAAATCCCCTCATTTTTAAGTCTGGCAGGTAAAGCTGGGAGGCTAGGAACTGATTCCAGCGTCACTTCTGGATGTGGCACTAGCAAGGAAGGGCTTCCCCAGATTGGTAAGATCAGGTCTGATGCCACCGGAGGACAGAATGGAGTAGAGTTAGAATTAAGCCGCTAGCTCTGGCTGTTTTCCCACTCATATCTCAGCACCTTTCAGAGTGTAGACTCTCTCTCAAGTCATGAGGTATACGCAGGAAATCTGATTTATGTGCTCAGAAATCAGAGTATTGTTTCTACAGTCCCGTCTCTAGGGATTTGGAGTTCTCATGAACCCAGGCTCCTCTGCCCTAAAAATATCTGTAGAGGGATGATGTAGCATTCCTCCATTGTGGACATCCCTAGAAAGCTTATCTCAGCAAACCTCCCACAGATGAGTCCTCAACTTAGTCTTCATTTAACTCTGGAACACTCAGCAGATTAGAAATAACTGTGTGACTAGGAAACAGGATGGGAATGTCATTGCCAATTATTGTGGACTTCTTTGTCCTCTGCTAACGTAGGAAAGTGAATGAAGAATAGAAAATTGCTCTCGTTTCTGGCCATTTTGTATGTAAATTTATCTTCTGATTGTTTTTAATGAGGAACTGAAGAAATACAAAGTCAAGAGCAACCCCACCAGGATGCAGAAAAGGCAGACACTTCACCTTCTGCCAGGCAAAAGGCCAGTCATGATGGACCCAGGAAAAAGGGGTAAGACACACTTTTTCCAAGGGCATATTTGAATTCATTCCAGAAACTTCTGAAATAAAGACCCCTTAGTTTTTCTTTTTTTTTTCTTTTCTTTTTTTTTTTTTAAATATATGAAATTTATTGTCAAATT